TTATTTATATATAGATAGATTTTCCACTACTTCAAGAAGTATATTTGTACTACGCTACGAGGTACAATTCATCAACCTAAAATAAATGAAGCAATTAAGAAGTGATTTTGTGCAAGTAGAAAAATCTTCCCTTTCTCAGTGTTGAAGTGAAAACGTTTGGCGCACCTGGCAATCCCCTCGCCCGACTGCTCAATTCTCAATGACCCAAGATGCACCAACAAATTTTGCTCGACGTCGCGGCTTCTAGCCACGCCAAAGGGCCAAGCCCTGCCGAGTTTTCGGCCGAAACGAATTCGCGAGTCTGGTCCGTGATGTCCATGCGCACAAGTTGCACATGACCGGCGTCACCAGCGTACTCAAATCAATCTTGTTTTCAATGGAGCTTGCACAGGTGAATGTGCAACTGAAAGCTGCCATCCGCCTGCTCCAAAAGGAAGATCTTTTGTCGAAAGAGAAGGGGCTCGTGAATACGGCTCTCGAGGGTGACCAAGACGATGTTGATCTCGCAGCGCATGATGACGTGACAGGAGTGGCCCTGTGGTCGACACTCTGCCTTGGCGACGACGACGACCCTTGCTGCCGTATAGGAAAGCCTTGAAAGCCGTTGGATGCTGCTTCCACTTCTCACGCGTGTGAGTATGATGTGTTCGCTGGTCCTTCGATCTTTCGTTATTCTAGGCTCCACGACATCGCTTCATACCTAGGGTCGCCGTTGCAATGGCATCGACAGGGTCTGCCACACGCTTTCACTCGAGCCGCGCGTCCTCCTTGAACCTCTCTTGACAGTTGTATTTAGGTAAAAAGTGCGATTGCTAAGGAGACGTAGACGGGTCTCGGCACAAGTTGACGTCCTCAAGAAGCAAGCAATGGGTGCTTGTTGCCCATCCCGTGTCATGCGTGGTCCCAAGTGGCTGGAGCTCATGTCGCGACAAGCCACACACCCCTATAGCTACACTCCTTCGAATCCAACAGCAGGAATTTTCCGCTGCAAGTGCATCATCAGCGCCTCGGGGACTCCGCATCACTCAGTAACGAATCTCTCACCCTTCCACCAGCTTTGCCGCAGCGACACTCGTTTGAGATGTTTGGATTCACGACGCCACGTGAGATCCATATGAGAGCTCTTGTTGACGCCAAGTCTCGTGGAACGTACTATGTATCTTGTGTTGGCCACGCAACGGCGAAACATTTCGCCAGTGCGACGAGTTGGACTGGCGGGATTGTGAATGTGGCATTTTCGTCTCTGCGTGGACGAGCTGGCCGGTGCGACTCCTTCGACGCACACACGTCACCGCCTGAGTTGGAATGTGAGGCTGCTTTGTAGACGTGTCATGCAAAGCAGAACCGTACGCCTAGCGAGGTACGCAAGTAGCCCACGCGGTAGTACGTCCCACATTGCCTGGCGCGGCGGCGTCTCGACTGCTACGTTGCCTTGCCGCCTCGTGGACCTTCTCTCGTCAACGATTCGAATCATAGCACGAACAACGCTGCCAGGTTTGCTGCACGAGGCACAGTGTTGTGTGCACACGTTGTGGTTGTGACCCGATGTGGGACACATTTGGCCCGTTCGACCACTTCAACGTTCGATTTTGCACCAATCAGAGAGCGCATGACGTTTCGTGAGCCAATCACATGACGCCGTCGTCGTGACAACCATCGCTGTTACATCCCCGCGGTCGCATCGTTCGAAAACGTGGCTGCGGCACTCATGGCCGCACAGTCTAACGTACGGTCGCCAGAGAGCCACGTCGAAGAACGTGGCTGCATTGCAATGATGCTCCTCAGTTTCCAATTCGATCGGTTACCACCACTGCGCGCTGCATGTACTCGACCCATGATCGCCTTCATACCTACTCGGACGTGGACGAAGCCATGTTCCAAGACGTTTTGTCTGTGCTCGTCCAGTCGTGCAAAATGAAGAAGCGGAATCGCCGACCTTCGCCATCATCCTGCGAAACGAGCGAAAAGCGACCACCGAAACGCATTCGTATTACACCGTTTCGACGGATCCTAGCGCTCCGTGCCCAAGTCGACGACCTTACCCTCCATCGCGACCGACTCCGACATGCCAAGAAAGTCCGACGAGAGGCGGTTTCCAACGGTAATCTTGTGGAAGCAGCCATGCGCGAGCACGAGATGCTTCTTCGGCACAAGGACCAACTCGCTGCGATCATCTTGCGCTTGCAAGCTGACCTGTTTCCGGTGCATTGTTGGAATCTCTCGCAACCCGATCACGCTCCCAACATCACAATTGTGTCTCCCCCATCCCCTTGCGGCGTTTATGGGTCTAAGACGGTGATCAAGCACGAACCTTTTGCTGCCGAGGACTACATTTCAGACGTCCCACATGCTATGCAGTCGATCCCGACCGCCTCCCCAGACGACGATCCGTCGCTCCTGACCACATTCGACACGACCCCGTCAATCCAAGCACGGCCTCCACCTCCGTACACCCCCGTCGATATTGGGCACTATGATCTTGAATTGGATTTCATCAAGATGGAATGCCTTTGACGCCCCCACCACGCCTTGAGTTGCGTAGTACGATGTAACTTTGACAAACATCTTGTGCACTGTTCCTACCAACGACGCCTTGGACCTTATAAGTTAACTGAACACCACGACGAAGGCAGTGACTTCACGAAGTGGCACCGCCGATTGACGAAGGCGCCTCGTCGGTTCGATCGGACGGCAATGAAAGGGCCGCGTCGACGGTTGGCTTCATGGCAGTGGGTGGCATGATGGCGTGACACAGCGGGCGGAACCGCTGAGCCAACGCATGCACGAGCAATTCCGTCACGGAACGGTTTTGCTGGCGGTACACGTTGACACACGACCGAAACCACTTTTGAACACAGTCGGCGGCAGACGTGGCGGCCGAGTAGAGGGCAGTCGTGAACGCGCAAGCAGGCTGCGGGGAACTAGGTGTGCATGACACGATGCTCTTGACACAGCACACGACGCCGGTGGGAGAGTCGCGCGAGACTTGGCGTTCGATTACAAACCACCCGACTTCGTCGTGGGCATAGCACGGTCGGAGGTGGGCCATGGGGTGGCGGGCGTCTTCCAGCACGGATCGAACAACAAACACGACACGGTTCAGTTCCACAAAGCGCTTGACTGCCACTTGGCCTTCTAGCCACTGGATAGCGCCGGCTGGACACTTGGCTTTGCACTTCATGTACATCGAGTTGGCCTCCATCCGCTCGAGGAGCTCGAGCGTGTCCCACTTGGTCCCTTTGACCAAACACTCGCGGCCGCGGTCGGTCAGCACGAGCGCGTTCATAATCTTGACCACATCGTCGAACGTGTGGCACTGCAGCTGCAAGTGGGTCAATTTGTCGATGGATATCACCGAGCCGCACAAGTTTCGCCGCACCACGGTTTTGCACAGATTCGAATGGCAGTCCACAAGTCCATTCCGAACGAGCATCGTGTCCACCCGTTCGTAGTCTCGTGTGAGCATGTTTAGAATGCCTGCCGTCCACGCTGCTTCGTCCTCTGGAAGGCGGTTGCATCGCCAGTCCTCCATGGGAACCTGCCGGCCAAGATGTGAGTGCACAGTCGACGACGACGAGTTGGTCACAGAACGTACTCGCTGAGACGACTTGACGACCTCCTGCAACGACGCAATGATTTCCATGTGCTCGTCCACGGCGAGCTTGAGCCTCTTTTGTTCGTGTAGCCCATCGTCGAGCTCCTTGCGCTGGGACATGGCGACATCGCACCAGGTCCATTTTCGCTTGCACGACGATGTCGCTCGGTTTGTCAGATCGTTGAGGCGAGCCTGCAGGTCATTGAGTTCCTTTGCTAACGACTGGACCTCTTCTTGTTCGGCCGTGTCGTCGGTGTGAAATGGGAATTGCCTCCTTGGAGGTCGCTTGCTCTTAGGGTGTTGTGCCGGGCAGAGAACGGATGGCGACGTTGGCGATGGCAAGAGCATGCCTTGGCCTGAGCTGTGCACGAATGAAGCAGCACTCACGGAAGGTTCTCAAGTGGACGACGCGATCGACCCGCGCGTGGGTTTCGCAAACTGAACGCTCCCGTTCAGCGCGATGCTTGGTCCAATCTGCACACAACGAAATTTGGCGAAGTCATAATCAATTGTTTTTTTCAAGACACGTGCACTTTTAAATATCAAGTGAATTCGAATAGTCAATTCAAATGATACAATTTCGAACACGATGAAATTGTATTCCCAACGCAAATACGAACCCACACCTTGATTATGGGTTGTGCCCATGACATCCATCACGTTGGCCCGACTTGTTTCGTCCGTGCGGAATTTATTTTCCTCGTCATACAAAAACCCCTTGATATAATTAAATTTCCTCTTGCAAGGTGTCTCCATAGTTGGTGCAGCCCCCGTTGACTCAAGTGAGGTAGGAACTCCCAAATCCTACAAAATGCACACATGTCTCGTGTTAACAAACCAAGTCCATTGCATGATGATGGCAATCACGTGCAGATAGGTCCCTACTACCGACTCTCTTTCCAGTTGTTCTATAGATCAACACATTCGCAGTCTGTTCGTAGCATCGTGGAATTTTGAAGCCACAATCATAGAGCGCCTCCCTGGCGAATGTACTGTGGAACGTCCACCGGCTTCCACAGATCGCACATGTAGGCAATTTTGTATCCTACCTATTATCACATGATAGAGGCTTTCTCACACGTTTATGAAACCCTCTCAAAAACTATGCATTCGGCGGCCAATGTACTAACCGCACTCTGGTAAACCATCCATCCATCCATGCAGTAGACCATCGATTCGACCTTCCGACCCACCACGCAGCCTTCGCGTTTCGCCTTCCAGGCACCCTTCGATCTTGATGGCCCGACCTTCCCTGACGTTATCATAGTTGACTGTGACTCGAAAACTATATGGAGCGATTGATGGCGATTCGGTGCGTGAATCGGCGGAACGAAATTCCACGTCGATCCGGCTGCGCAGTCTACATACCGGAACGTTCACGAATTCACGACCCTGCATGCATACCGCGCCCATATGATGGTCATGTTGTGCCTGAGCGAATGGCGGCGGCAAAGAACTACCAACTAGTCCAATATACATGTCGAAAGACCCATTGTGTGGTGCTCCATTGTTGCATTATTTCCGCGCGACCGGCCTTGAATCGATCACGTCCTTAACGACGGCGGTTCGACAGCAAAAAGCCCACACCAAACGACAGCACGACAACGCCGAGGGTCAAAAACTGGCACTTGAGTGGTACCATGCAACCGCAGTTCGTCGACTTGAGCTATACAAACTCGTCGCGTGAAGTTTAGACTTCTATCGACCATACCGTGGACACGCCGGATGCTGGCGTGAGCGGGATGTTGTTTGCTGTCAAAGTGGCCTTCAGCTTCTGGACCGCTTGACCTGGCATAGCGATCGCAAACCCGCACTCAATCAACGCAGCTTCGATGGCAGCAACCGTTTGCGCCGCGTGGTCTGCGCGGCGGGTGCTTGGGCCCATGTGGCCAATGCGAAAGTACTCGGTCTTGATCTCCTTGTGCAGTCCACCCGCCAACGACACTCCACGGGCATACACCTTGGGCAAGAGATCGGGCCCTGAAATGCCCTTGGGGAATCGAACACACGTCATCGTGTTGGCTGCAACTCCGTCGACAGGGACCTATATGTAGCCGAGACGAATAGCATGAGCCAGGTCAACCCGCCCACTGTCGAACTCATTCACGAGTGCATAGGCAACCGGTTTTGTCAACGACTTACAAAGTCAATGCCCCAGGATTGAATGGCAGCTTTGATTGCAGCTGACACGGCTCGATGTTCGCGAAATCGAGCTTCCATACCGCCGTTTGCGAGCAAAATTTCCAGCGCTACAATGCCCACACACCGTTGATAATGTCGAGAATGCAGCACCCGTACACTTGTGCAACGCAAACACGTGGTTCACGGCGGGCGTGGCGAAATACGACGGACGGCGCGCCTCGTAGTTCTTCATGATGCCGAGCCAGTTGGTCCAGTCGCAATAGTACTTGGGCTTGGTAGCGCTTAGCTTTTCGTGGACCTTCAACGCGCGCGGCCGAATCACGAGGATGCTCAGGCCCGCGGGCACACCCAGACACTTTTGCGACCCCGTCAGAACGACGTCGACATCCCACGCCTTCATGCGAAGCTCCTCTCCACCCAGCGCACACACGCTGTCGACAATGACCAAGGCGTCAGGCTGGGCGGCACGTACAGCTGCAGTGTACTCGGCCACATTCGCAAGCACTCCAGTCGATGTGTCGACGTGCGTGATCGTGACTGCTTTGAATTGCGTGGTCGAGAGAGCCTTGGACAATTCGGCCACTGACGGACGCTCGCCGACCTACGAATTCAATTATTCATAACAAAGCTGTGGCTTGAACAGCAATGAACATAGCCAATGCGGTGTGCTGAAGATCGAAGGAAAGCGCACTCGTACCGGAGCGCGCAAGTAAGTGACGTTAGCGCCGTATTGGGAAAAGCAATCGCCAAAGTGGTCGCCGAAATATCCTTCGTTCACATACATATGAGAGATCGCAGGAGGGGGACTATGAAGGGGTACCAGTGTTGATAACGAGAACGTTGTCGTCTGCTTCGAGCAAGTTGGACGCGACCATGTCCCAGCCCAACGTCCCCGACCCCGTCACAACGAGTGGCTGGCCGTCTTGCGCCAGAAATACCTGGCAGCGTGGTTATAGAATGCTGTCACGCAAAGCACCATGGACTAGACCTTGCGCAGGTTTTCCAGCGTGTTGCCAAACACATCGATGAAGTACGGGTCGACGTGGGAAATGCCCTCGTGTGCAAACGCATCCAAGACGTCCTTTTCAAAGGCGATAGGGCCTGGGTTCATACACAACGTCTTCTTCTCCGCCACAGTCATCGTGTAGACCTAAGTCAACCGTGAGGCATCGCCGAGACCTTGGTTGTCCTCCATTGCTACCTTGGGCTCCCAATTCTGGATTGTTTCGTCAAGGTGTGGGGGTTGAGATGCACCTTTCTCGTTTAATACTTTTCATATTTAATAATCGGAATCAAATCGATTTTGAGGGTGTAATCTCACCCCAAACAACAAAACCGCGCTCGCTCGCACTTGAGTCACCCTCGGTGCTGGAATGGTCCAGCACCTCTGCGTGACACCTTTTCGCCCGCAAGGACACGTGCTATCCCTGGAGATGATGCACACTTGAAATATATACATTGACATAGGTTGGCGAATACAGTTGACATCTTGTATATTCATATCTTTCATATTCTAATATTTGAGTATTGTGTTTAAGAGTAAATCGCTTGCGATCTTGAAGCCTCCGCCATGACCGCACACGCCGACGTGTAGGTGCATGTGCGTTGGACGATTGTTGCACCGATGACTCACATGCAAGTAGCACGGAAGCGGTCCCACTGATGAATGCGTTTCCTACAGACAAGCTCGCCTTGCTTCTTCGACGAATCCTGCAGTCACCAGATACCTCTGTACGTGGATCCGAGCCATCAGCGTGACGGCTCATGCACTCACAGACTTGCGTCTTCTCCGACCAAGAACAGTCGCAACTCATGGTCATGGGTAACATGTCAGCTCCCCAAGTGACTGTCCTTCTTGCTGGTGTGACGCGGATAGTCTCGAGTGCAGCGTATCACGACTGGGATGACAAGCAGTTTGTCAGCGAGGTTTCGAGACTGGGGGTTTTGGAGGCTACATCATCGGCTCTGGGTGCAGTTTGGGGACAAGAAAAGTTGACGTATCGAGAAGCACTGCTGCACAAGAGCACGATGTCCGGGCAACTACCAAGCATCACTGATTCGCACTGGCGTATGCATGTTACGATTGCCGATTCAGTCTCAACAGGACATGCGATCCCTCACGCTTTGTTCCACCTGCACACTGTAAAGTCCCATCTATCGTCCTCGCCATCTAACGACGACAACGAGATTCATATGGAGATGAACCACACCGACTTGTACGACTTTTTCATTCAACTGGACGCGATTCAATCGGAAATTGACGCGCTGGCCACTCCCCCTTAAGAGTCACGACCACCACGCAAGCCGCCGCCGCCATCGATGCCAGATTGCTTCAAATTTTTTCTCTGATAAATCAAATACGATTCTCCATGAGTGATGCTGCCCGTGTTGCTGCGCTGCACCAAATGCGTCGTGATGACTTCCTCCCGAGGAGCCAAAGCCCATTCGATGACACGCGCCCGTCGCGGAATAGCGTCGTTGCCGTACGCAGCACCTACCACCAGTTATGAGAGAGAAATCTCAAGTTCCTCACAACCGCCTCACGAAGCGAGACATTGGATCGAGTGACGTACCATAGCCGACGCCGCCTCCGTAACACAAATGCACGCTGTCTTTGCGAAAGCAATAGTCGTTCAAGTGGTCGTGGCCGGCAAAGGTGGCTTTGACGTCGCCCACTAGCAGATGCCGTGAGCCCACTCGCCACCCATGAACTTTCCATCCAGTGCAGCCAGGAACAGCGCCCCACGGAGACAACTGCAGTCCTTCATCGCACACGTTCCCCGTCCATCTCAACAAACGAGCAATCCATCCAACGAAGAAGCAAACGGGACCACGCATCGACTCGTTCCGTACTCTGCAAGATCGTCTCAAAGAGATGGCTGTTGGTGTGTGCATGGGTCACTGCTTCGCCGAGGTGGCCTTGGCGAGGCAGGTCATTCTTGATGGCAGACTCGAATTCAGCATACTCGGGTAACGGATTGTGAAAAAACACGAGGGCGGGCACGTGTTGATGGGCATGTTGCGCTGCCACGTCCAAGAGATGTGTCTGCTGGTCCGGTGTGAATTGCCCGTCTTCGGAATCAAGAAAGTATAGGCGGAGTAGCGCTTTGCCGCTTGGTCCCCACGTCCCTGCGACCGGTGCGTCGATTTGCAGGTGGTAGTTTCCCACGCGCGAGGTAGAGGTCTTGGGACCAAACTCAGAGTACGACAACGGCATAGCGTTGAGACGGCGGAACATTTCTCGCTTCGACATGGAGTCCTATTCCAAGAAGACATGATGGTGGAACGAGTTGCAAGGGCACCTACCCCCTGGTCGTGGTTGCCAAACACCATGGCCCACGGGATGTTGCGCTCGATCGTGCCTTTGCTGAAGGCGTACAGTGCTTGGTTGACTTGGTACACCGACTGCACACAGCATGTCTGGATGAGAAATGGCAAACGTGGTCGACAATGTGGAAAAAGCAGAGACCAACAACGAGCGAGAGCTGCAAGACCATGCATCAGAATGATGTGTACCTGATGCACTTCGACCGACTCAATTTGGTCTCCTGTAAACACGACAAAGTCCGGCTTGACGTCGTCAAGCAAGGATGCCACGAAGGCTGTCATGTTGGCTTCTGTGCATGGGTACTCCTGGTTGAACGCGTCAGTGTACGTGATGTGTGGTCAATGGACTGACAGACGGTGGCGGGTTCCGACATGGATGGTTGGGGTTGCCAGTATAATGCATGTCTGGGATCTGTAGAATTGTGAACGCAAGCAACGGTGGCTCGTGCGATTGAGCTCTAACAGCTCTGGCGACCAAAGGAGGCTTGGCCACTACGTCCAAGTCAAGGCCACTGTAGTGGATGTACTTGTGCGTCGACACGACGAAGAGGTTGACGCTGAGAGCGTACAGCAAGCTCACGGAGACGGCAACAATCAGAAGGAATTGAATGGCCTTTCTCCATGATATTCTCCGCCGCATCAAGAAGATGGAGTGCTGGATGGAGTCCATCGACCATTGCCGCGGCAACGCCGACCTCTTCATTTTGACGCCGAGACGAGACAATCGAACCCAACGAAATCATGACCATTTAAAAAGTGTGGTAAATTATAATAAAAAAAAACTACTACATCACATGAACTCGCTCACGTAATTATTTTAAACAATTGCATGGGATGAAAGCGCGTCAATTTAAAATGCAATTAAAATACACTCGTGCAAGATTTGTATCTTGCAGTAACCGTCACGTGAACGACGAGCGAGGAAGGTCGTCGCGGCGCCATCATGAAGAAGCAGCTGACCAAACTCTTCAGTCGAAAGAAGACAGGCAGCGACGAGCATGACTTGAACCCAACGACGTCGCCGCCGAGCAAGTCCCCCGCCTCAGTAACAACGATGCAAACACCTGTGGACGTTCCACCACCGTCTCCGCCTGATGTGAGTATTGATTCCTTCACGCTCGCCACCTCCCTGCCTCATGTCAAGGGACACGGTTTGCTTTGGGTAGGCACGATTTTCACGCATGACAGCTCAAATGAAAGACTTCGCGCTCGCATGCAAGCAGTTGTACGTCTCCAAGTGTATCTTTCCGACTCTGATCTTGCTCGCTTCCAGCGTGACAACCGTCAAAGCGGATAGCGGTGCAAACTCTGTCGTCGTTCACAAATTCATGGCGACGATTCATTCCCTGAATGCGAAAGTGCAATCGAACATGGGCAAGCCCACCTGCCATCCTATGACCACCTCACTAACGCATATCTGTAGGTGACGCCTCCACGAGATGGGTGGCTCTGTACTGTGCAAGCGACCTGGGCATACCATTGAGCGAGCAAGCGACGCTTCTTGCCCTCGTCGTCGAATCCCTCAATCGCATTCGTCTGGCTTATATTGTCGAGCACGTGCACGAGCTAGCGACTACTCCTGGTCTCGCTAAGTTGCCCGACGAAGCTGTGCTGTGTCCGGCCGTCGGGACCCTCGGCGCATGTATGGTGGGAATGCTTTCCAACGCAACTATCTTAGATCGACAGCGGTGTGAAGTTTTGAACGTGATGCGTCTCGCTGTCGACTTGTACGCCCCAAGAACTACGTGCATCCGCGACGTTGTGTCCATGGCCGTCGACACGATTGCAACCTCTTCGGCATTTAATGCAGGACTGGTCTGGTACCTCCACGACACCCATGCCATTGCGACCGTCGTCGACACGATGAGACTGCTGGCTACAGCTACCGTGGTCACGTCCGAGAACGCCGACGTCGCCATCGGGTGGTTTGAAGCTGCGTCCACCCAACACTCATCTCTCTTGTCCTGTGCGCCATCACCCCATGGGAACAATGCGGAAGACGATGTTCATGTGGCTGTGAGCAAAGCCCTTGGCCTCTACAAGGAGAAACCGAAGGACCCTATTGCACCACTGGTCGACCCAGGAAACGACGTGGACGCGGCGCCACCTCGGCCACCCCAAAATGAAATACGTCCGGCTGCAGAATCTGCCGCTACCTCCACAACGCCGCCGACAGCGACGTATTCGCTGGTCAGCCATGAGCCATCGGTAGGCCACAAACTCGTCCTCACGATATTGCAAGCCAGTTGTCGGTTCTCGTTCGTCCTTGTGTTGGATTTCGGAACGATGGGAGGGTACAATGTCGTGTGGTCCATTGCGAACAGGTCGGCCAAAGACAAGAGCAGCCAAGGTCAAGCGGAGGACGGCATGCACTTATTCGTGGGGCTCCTTCCCCTCGGAGAAGGAGTGGCGAAGCCGTTGGAGTCCGATGACTGGTCCTTGAACGCGTGCGGGGCATGGAACGATGCTGCTCTCATCGCTTTGCGCGACTTTCTCGGTGTCCACATTGAAGACGCGACGAAAACAGCGTTGCTCGCGCCATGGCTAAACGTTGTGCACCAAATTTACGCCACTCGAACCGATCAATTCAAACGAGTGGAGACCAAGACGCAGTTGGTGGCGTCGTTGGTGGCCAAGTTCCAAACGATTGCGAGTCGACATGCTCAGGATGTCGTGCTGGCGTGTGTGCAGCACATGGCAGTACATGGCGCGACAATGGACGTAACTCGAAGCATCCTTGGCTCAATTTGCAATCTCTTTGCGGACGCTCAGGTGCGTCCGCTGTGTTGATTGAGCCAATGCAAATCGAAATTGGTTGTTTTAGGCGGTTCCGGAACTCGCACTGCTCCTGTGTAGATCGCTGGCGACGATGCTGCACCAAGTACCAACACCCGACCATGCTTTGCGAGAGACGTTGCTGGATGCTGGCTTGGTCGACCGAGGACTCGTTGCAGCATTCAAGCAAATTCAACAGGCTGAGAGCGCTTCCGTCGACGACGCCACAGGCAATTCCAAGTACATTCAAGAAATCTGTGCTTTGGTGTGCCTGGTCCTGCACAATCACGTGGCTGCGTGCACGCAATTCCGCCAGCACCACGTGCATTTGATATTGTACGTGGTGTTGACCGCGCGGATCCACGACCGTGAGACCTTTCAAAGCGTATTCAACATTCTGGTGGCCCTGTCGGGGGTGACAAAGTCGCCGCTGCTCATCGAAGGAATTGAGGACGACGTGCGAATGCTTCTGGACGTCATGCAGCGCTGCTGTCGCGAGCACAACGCGCAATCTCTGCACACCCTTTTAGCGTTGCTCTGCCAGTACCTTCGAAACAACGTTACAGTCCAACGCATCTGGCGCGACAAGATGTCCGGCATGGAAGGGTTGCTGTCAGCACTGTCGACATTGCAAGACCACGCGAGCGATTTTCCCGTCCTCGAGACGCTGCTCTCGATCGTGTCGAGCCTTTTGGATGCCCCCGACACACGGCAATATGCCCTCGACCACCACATCTACCACACAATTGCCGACTGTATTGTCGCGTCCGGCTGGCTAGCGTCTTCGCACGCAGCAGATGTGTTGGCGTTCTTGATGGGGCTGGTGTTCCAGACCACGAAAGGAGGGTCGTCCTGTGCACCAACGGTTGGCCGGTACAACCCCGACGCCGGGGTCATGAGTTTTCGAGTGTATCCGCACTTGGACCGTGGCCAACGATCGGACGTTTTGTCGAGCTGGATGAGTCATCTGGAGAGTTTGACCAAGCCGAACGGCGACAAAGCCAAGCTCATTGCGGCAGGCGTGTTTAAGTGGATCCTTCCGCTCGTACAAGTGGATCCGTTGCCACTTCTCCCATTGATTGCTGTGCTGGCAACGGTGGACATCCCCATGCCGCACTTGCGACACTACCTCCGTGTAGTGCACCACACCCCTTGCCGGGGCCTCCCGATGCTCGACACGATGTCAAAAGTACCGACTGTGCCACACACCGAACTCCACCACCATTCGTACATTCAAGTCACGACATACGACAAGGTATGGCCGCCGCCGTCGGGGTATTCGTTTGCGTGCTGGTTTCAGTTTCCGCCGCCGGACGAAGCCCAAGGACCAAGCCACACGGTCACGGTGCCCATGTGCGAAGGGCACCTTGTGATGGACCATGGACTCGGGCCAACGTATGCCGTGCTGGTGGGGTCGACACTGAGTCTGTACCGATGCAAGGAGGATGCTGTGTCCGGTGCCAAGGAACTCGGGCTGTTGGAGATTTTCGAGTACGCGGAAGAAGGAATCGCTGGGTTTCGCATTTGCAGCAATGATGACTGGTTCGCAGCGACTGTCGTCGATCCCGACGGCGCGCCAGCGTGGAAGAAGGCGCTGCAAGTGTACTCGAAGCCATACGTGATGCTCGTGTCCATGTATACGTTGGACCAGCCGCAGTGCTTCACCCGAGTCTACTTTGACCCGGCAACAACGTGCTTGCGAGTAGAAACGTCCCAGAAGCACGTGCTGTTCAAGAACATCGACATCGGACTTTTTGCCCCGAAGAGTTGGCACCACCTCGTGTTCACACATAAGCGCGCCGTCATGGGCAGCTCTTTGGCGACGCTCTACATCGACGGCGGCGAAATTGGCGCCAAGAAGCTGTCGTACCCTGCCGTATCAACGACGCCCGGCCCGATTCGGTGCTTCCTCGGAAGCGACCCGCACTTGTTTCCGTCCACAAAGATTCGATCGATTTGCCTTGGTCCGATGTGGCTCATGGGCGACGTGCTGCCGCCACTTGCGGCCACATGCATGTTCACGCTGGGCCCGGCCTATATGCACTCGTTCCCTGGCAACGGCACTAGCCAAGGCGCCATCGACGAGTGGACGGAGACCACCCTCGCCGCCTTCTTGCATCGGATCATCCATCGAAAAGTGGATGTCGCGAGGGCGGCAAAGCGACTGCAGCTTCGGAATCTCGCGCTGGCAACGCAAAAGGACTGGCAAAGCGAAATGGTTGTGTCTTGGATCGACAAGGAAGACTCGGCCATCTACGCCACGATGTGGTTTCGATACTTTATCGACCGCCACTGCTCGATGAAAGCACTCGGGATGGAGTGGCTCGCACTGGTGTCGAGCTTCAAATGGACGGATGATACGCTCGTGCTGTGGAATCTCCATACAGACGTTCCGAATTCGCCGCAGACACACGTCCACTATGCCGACTCGGAGCCCACAATCCCTCTGAATCTGGGCAAACTTGTCCCGAGTCTCGGTGGTCTCTGGTCGGTGCTGGTCCCCCTGGCGGATTCCTTGGACACCACAGCCGACCTCCACCGATTTCTCCGCGTCCTGACACGGTGCTTGCAAGCAAACCCGGCCACGTTGGCCTGGTTCCTCGAGCAAAAGGGCCATGCGTGGGTTACGACCTTGCTCCTCCAACACATGGACTTGGTGGACGCGTCCATTCTGAAAGCCGCGGCCAAGCTTGCGATCTCCGGCTCACTGAGCCCCCACAAGCAGGCGAAGCAGCCTCCGCCTCTCGACGCGAAAGTGGCACATCCAGTTATCATCGACGTTCACGCTATTACGAGCGTCCTGTTCAATGTCGCGTTTCGCACGGCGCTGCCACGACCGCTCCAACGCGAGCTAGTCGTCCTCTTGGCCTATACGATCCAGCCCCAGAACCCCAACGCCGTCTTCAACGCCCGCCAACTGCGTCAGTCCCAGTTCATCCAGTGGTGTCTCCATCTCATATCCCAAATCTGCCGGGCGGGCGACCCTGGAAGCGAGCTTAAGGACGACTTGCTGCTGACCGAGACCCAGCAGCTCCTGGCCACGTATGTCCAAGTTGAAGTCCATGTAGACGACATGCTTCAATACTCGGACATGCTCCTGTGTGCGTTGATGGATGCGGACGCTGCTTCTCTGCGCTGCACGCTGCTACACTTCCTGGTGCACCACGTTGAATCGTCCCCCGTTGTCGCGCGCACCGTCGTCGATTCCGTTCTTTACCGGCTCCACCAAGACAAGAAGAAAGGGATGGCGTCTGCGACGTCTCCCACCGGCAGTGGCCCGACCAGCCCCCACTGGTGCCCCCACGACTCGACTTTTTCAACAGACGGCCTGGAGCATGTTCTCTTGGAGACGATCTGCCGCTCTAAGCTCTCGCCCGACACGCCACAACAACCTGCCGACGCTCAACTCGCGTCCCGACTCCTCTTCACGCTGGCACAAGTCCAGCCTGCGTTTGCCATGCACTTGCTCGTGAATTCCCAGCTGCACGTGCGCCTCAAACAAGTCCTCGCGTTGCACGCTGGCCATGCCGCGACTTACGTCCCGCTGCTTGCGTTTGTCGGATTGATTCCGCTCTCGAATGTTGCCGTGTCGAGCGATGGATCCGGGGATGACCTGAGCGGCACTGCTACATTTCCTGCCAAGTACACCCCGACCGCGATGGACCGCGATTGCATCGATGCCGTGTGGGATATCCTCGGGCACTTGTGGCACATCCGCCAATGCACGCTGCCCACTGACACGACGACTGTCGCCGTGATCATGTGGCTCAACCAGAGGCTCCATTCCGACATGTTGTTCTTCCAGGCGGTGTGTCGATCAAGCTGCGCGTTTTTGGCCGTCATCCTTCGGTGCAGAGTGCTACCGACTCGTTCAACCACTGAGGCCACCGACAACGTGGCGCCCTTGCCAATATCGCAAGCGGGCGAGGTGTGTTTGGTCACGTTCGCAAACCAGTCACTCGTTGAGCGCGATGACTGGGCAGACAACATGTTGTTTTGTTTGCACATATGGCCCTCGACCGCATCGCAACACGACTGGTTCTCGCTCGTCACTGCCATCGTATCCAACGCCAAGATTCTGGAAGGTTGCGCGAGTGTGGTCGCGATGAAAAACGTGTGCAGTTTGCTCTTGGGACTCCTCCGCTTGATCGTGTGTCGCCGCAAGCGAGGCGACAAGTTGAAACGAGTCGACCCGACCCCGTCCAAGGTGAAAGCGCCAAACGAGGCGTGGCCCGCCGACCTCACAAGTACAGTCCTCGCGTTTGTTTGCCACGTGATTCGTGCTAGCGAAAACGCGGTCATGGCCAGGTACACGTTGTTCAACAGGATTCTCTTGCATTTTGGTGTGGATGTTGATCTTGTCAACGAAAACTCTTAGCGTGCTTGGGGACGAAGCGATCCAGCATTTTTACAACGTGTTGGTCTTCTGCGCCCAGGCGTTCGTTCTGCAAGCGCTGTATCCGATGCAGCACGTCGCGTCGTGGCACTTGGACGTGCTGCGGGTCGTGGTCGCGTCCAAGGATCAGTTCTTACAGCAAACGAACGTGTCGAACGTGTTGCTGTACACCGGGTCGGCCGCGGCGCCGCCGATCGCCGACGCGTCGGCGTTTCGCCTGCACATGCGGCAGTTGAGTTTGCAAGGCAGCCAAAAGGAGTTTGTGGTCGGGCAAGACTCGGACAAGTTGTTTGTGCAATGCTTGGCGACGGCCTTGTTTCGGTACGACGTGTTCATCGACTTGTTTGCTTCGCGACGCTCGACGACTCACGTGTTCGTTGCAGCATTCTCCTCGCCGACCCCGCCTGTTTTGAAGTCACGCAGCTCTGGCAATACCTGCTTCAGCAACGCATGGGCCTCGTCAAAGAGATGCTGATCCTTGACGTCAAACCGACGCTTCTCACAACGATGTCGACGGCCAAGAAAGAGCCGTTGGACGTGTTTCACCACGGGTTCGACCAAATTCTCGGGATCGATTCGCTCGACCATTGTCAGTACCGAGTCTTTTTTCAGTGGATCCAAGCGCAGTCAACGCTGCTCGAGGACGTTTTTTCCACACGCACTGACCCGATGTACAACCAACTGGTCGACGTCCTGGAAGGAACGCTGTCGTTGAGGCATCCCAAGCATGGACAATGGGCGATTCGCGTCGCTGTCGACCCGCCAGCTCCGTACCCACTGCTGGAGTCGACAGCGCGAGACGAATGCGCGGATGAAGCAATGGTCCAACTTGCGTCCGAGAAAGCATCCGTCCGGCTGGCGCAGTTTGTGTCGAGCCAGCGCGATGACTCCAAACAGTCCAAGGCGAAATGGGATCGCGAGCTCGCCAATGCCAAGTACGTTGATGTCGAGCGTGATCACAATTGAACGAATATTGTTAGGTACACACGATCGCTGTGGTCGGAGCCGGTCGAAATGCACGCGAGGCCGACGCAAACTGTGTACCAACTATCGTGGGAGTACACGGCGCTGGATGCGACCGAAGGACCTGGACGCAAGCGAGTGCGGCTAAAGTGGCAGGACACTCCGATTCGACCAGGTCGAGCGTCCAGCAGTGCCCAGACCCCGTCAGGTGCCCCTGCAAAGAAGGCTGCATCGTTCAGAGTGTCAAGTGAGGCGCGGCGGTACTTGGAATTCCACGATGCTGTTGAAGTGTACCGTCAGTGCACGTACAAGCACGACCTTGTCGATCTGACAAAGTGCAAATTCCCCCAAACGAGGGAGCTCCTCCGAGGTGCCGTGGACCGTCGATGGTTCTTCAGTACTGATGTGCGTTGCTCTTGTGCAGAACTGGTCACGCCCTTGTCGATTGCGGCAGCAATTTGCAGCGCCTTCTTGCAGGAAGGCCAATACCAATTGCTCGGAATATCTACCATCGTCGTCCAAGAGATCGACGCGAATCTCCGTCTGCTACAGGACCACCACCCGTCAGTGGACCAAGCTACGGACAGCGCATCGGGCGACCATGCTGGAAACGAGCCGTCGCATGGAAGCGATGAGGTGGCAACCGTCCTTCCCACCACTCTCTTCGACGTGGCAGACTCGGAAGCCATGCAAAAAGGCGCATTAGCCAAATCAACCTCTGGAATGCCGCCCATCAAGCAAGGTGTGGCACGACGACACCACAGACTTATGTATTGCATTCGACTAGGCACGGAGGACAACCGAGACTCGGACGAAGAACTGTCCGACGACGATGAAAGTTCAACCCATCGTGAGTCCATACTAGACCTCCGGACGAGCGAGATCGAGCCGTCCTCCACTGCCGCCGCGCCGTCCCCAGAGACCTCCGCTCCAACGCCGCCTCTGGACGACCGCCGATTTTGCGGTGCTTTGCTGCGCATCCTGCACCGAAATGACCAGACCCCCCACCACGCTTGCAATGCCATCTCGGTGGCAGGCATGCAAAAAACGGTAAGTTGGCTCGACGACGCGGCAATATCCAAATCCGTCGTGGAATACATGCTAAGGAGTTGTTAGAGTGGCGTGTGGCTCATGTGCGACGAGTCCCTGTACTTTGTTGAAGGCTACATTGTAGTCGACGACCAGCAACAACTGACCAAAAGCCTTGCCGATCTGCGGGCTGGCAGCGAAAAACCCGGCGGCGGCGTCATGCAGAAGCCAAACACGTCGCTGACGAGCCCCGTCGTGTGGCGGCTCAAGTATAGTAAGTGGCCGCCATGGGGTCGAGTGTATTTGTCGGGTTGACCGCTGTGGTCGAAGTTGGCTGTTCGAATTGCATTCCATCCATATTTTCGTTGCCAACCGATAATGGTATGCACAGGCGACATCAAGCAATTCTATCGGATCAAGTTTCAGCTGCGCCCTGTCGGCCTCGAGCTCGTCGACACGGGCGGATGGACGTACTTTTGCACGTTCGACTCGGCGCGGTGTCGCGAGGACGTGTTCAAAGCGTTGTTCCAGATGCCGATTCACAACAGCATCTACTGGGCGCACGTGCTGCGACCGGCACCGTTTCGCTCGATGAAGCGACTGCGGCAAAGCCTGACGAAGAAGTGGCTCCGCGGCGCTATGTCCAACTTTGAGTACCTCATCGAGTTGAATGCGCTAGCAGGGCGCACCTTCAACGATGTGACGCAGTACCCCGTACGTGCAGCCCGCCGAACGCTTTGCCATGGTGAAATTCAGGAAATTACTCGGCGTCGTGGTAGGTGTTCCCGTGGGTTTTGGCCGATTACACGTCGGACGTGTTGGATCTGTCAAAGGACGCCACGTACCGCGACCTGAGCAAGCCCATGGGTGGCCTTGGCGCCAAGCGCGCGGAGCAGTTCCGAGAGCGGTATGCCGCCATGGCAACCGATGGCTTTGATGGGTCTCCCGCGTTTCATTATGGAACGCATTACTCGTGCTCGGCGTACGTGACGTACTACCTCGTCCGACTCGAGCCTTTTGCATCGATGGCGCAAGAGTTGCAGGTACGATGCTCTCTCCTTTTCTCTCTCGTGTGTTGGATCGTTGATGATTCGACGCGAAAGCCACACAATTTCGCTGTGGACAAGGATGCCATTGCGTCCACCACGCAGATCTTGTGGTGACGATGGGTGCTATTTGAATGCATTCAGAGTTCTCACATGGATCGCTTGGTTGGGTATGTCAACACAGGGCGGCGAGTTTGACAAGGCCGATCGATTGTTTCGCAGCGTTGGGGCATCGTGGACATCGGCGTCGTCGGAGAACCTCCAGGTACTTGAGAGCGACTTGGCAAAACAGGAGACTGGTGGTGGCATGCGCTGCATGGGTGCTTGTTTGGATGGAGTGTTACATTCGGTTCATTCTCTAGGACGTCCGCGAGCTCATTCCAGAGTTCTTCTTTCTGCCGGAATTTCTCGTAAACGCCAACCACTTCGACTTGGGCACGACGCAAAATGGCGACGCTGTCCGAGATGTGCTGTTGCCGCCGTGGGCCCGCAACGACCCGCGCGAGTTTATTCGACTACATCGTCGCGCGTTGGAGTCCAAAGTACGAAATGCATGCACAGGATGTGCCGACGTGGTAACGAGCGATGTTGCTTCTAGTACGTGTCGGAAAACTTGCACCACTGGATCGATTTGATCTTTGGGTACAAGCAGCAGGGCCAGGAAGCCATCGACGCGCTCAATGTGTTTATGCACATGACGTACGAAGGCACGGTATGGCGTCCCGATTCCAGGCATCGCTAAAGCGATCGTGCCATACTGGCGTTTTGACCATGTGTGGCAGGTCGACATCGACAACATCCACGACCCTCTCCTGCGGGAAGCCACCCTGGCGCAGATTGAAAACTTTGGCCAAACGCCGACCAAGCTGTTTAACAGTCCCCATCCACCACGAAAAGTCCCGCAGCTACAAGTGCATTCGTCTCTCTCCTCACTCCTCACACACGCCCAAGATCTCAGCATGAACGCTCAGAGCAGGTACGCATCTGCTGTGTTCTTCTCCTGGCCCGCACCTGCGATCCTGCTTGACAACACCCACTGCTGCATAGTATTGAAGCTTATGTCAAGTGGCACACGCCCCTCGCACCGCCGCTCGTGTCCATCGGGAAAGAGTATGTGTATCTCAAAAAGGCCCACGCTGCTCAAGTTCTCGACGAGCCCGTCGGCGACGTCAAGGTGACAGCTGACAACAAGGTAAGGCACCGTTCGAGTGTTGTTGGAGCGTAGATACCAACGCGACGGTGGGTACATCGATGCGTAGTACGTGTGCCGTGGCCAGCGCTGTGTGCTCGTGCCCCCTCGCCACAAAAAAGTGGTCGACTGGGGCTTAGGCAACGGATCCATCGCTCTGCGTTCGGTCAAGTCGAAAGGGTCCCTCGTCGTCGTCGAAAACGTCCATGCGAGCGCAATTCGATGTGGCGCGTTTTGTGCTGACGGGTTGGTTTTTGTCAGCGGGGGCGACGATGCTGTCGTCAACGTCCTCGAGTGCAGTAAGGTCCACGGCGAGAGGGTGCTTACCCACAAAGGCAAACTGACAGGTACTTCCTACGCCATTCATTGTGGTGCAGACCAACTTCAACATGCTCGAGGCGTGAGGAGGCAGTAGTCGAGTGTGTGGCTCGCCTACCTGGCTGACTCGCAAACTCCACAGTGTGCTTGCTGGCGCGATGGCTGAAGACATGGGGAATGGATGGCTCATCCACTGAGTATGGACTAGGACACGAAGACGCAGTGACGTGCGTTGCCATCGACACAGCGTTCAGCATTATCCTGAGTGGATCAAAGGATTGCTCGGCGATCGTGTGGGACCTCCGGACGCGGCGGTACTTGCGGGATCTGCGCGGCCACGACGCGCCGCTGTCGCATGTCGGGGTGAACGGTGCCAACGGCAATCTCGTCACCATTGCAAACACCCAAGTGCGCATGTGGTCGATCAATGGCGATCTCTTGGCCGGCGCGCTCTTACCAACGCTTGGTCTATCTCCTATCGTACGACTCGATGCACCATGGCTCGCAAGGGGGTTGTCCTAACGCGTGGGGGTGTGGGTCGTAGACGGCTGCGCTGTGCACGACGTGCGATATGTGGCAAAACGGCGTCGTCGCCGTCACGGGGCATTCGAATGGCACGATTGCGTGCTGGGGAGTCAAGTACCCCACAGACGCCGAGGCAGCGGGCCCGGACGTGAAGCCAACGTTCAGTGTGACCGCAGACAAGTTTCGAGCAAGTGGCAACGCCGTTGTCGTCGCCCCATCTTGCCACCTCGTCGTGATGAAGCTCCTGGTCGAACACCGGTCGAGTGTGACGGCCCTTGCGATGACCCCCGATCAGCGCCAAGTTATCTCGGGGGATGCCGACGGGTGGTGCATGCGATGGATTGACGACAGTTTGACGAGTGGCGCGACGTAAGCGATGAAATATTGATCCAAACACATTGCGCATTTATTCGTCGGCGCCAGTGGATCGCCCACGGTGAAGTACCGCATCAAGGTGGCATCTCGCGATCGTCGACACCCCCTCGACCTTTGTCCTCGGTCTTGTAGCACATTGTCGTGGTCCATCGCTGTGATTCCCATCTCGAGTCGAAGAGGTTGCGCGGGTGGCGGGGTGGCTGACCGGCGCGACCTAGTTTACACGGAACTGGTCGATGCCGACGAGTGCTGGGACGTTTCGATTGCACCACGACGTGGACGCTGCAGCACGCGCAGAACGGGTCGATGGTGTTGAATGCGGGCTTGGACCAAACGGCGGCCGGCCCTGCGGGTAGCGACGAGGAAATGAACTCAGGGAGGTAGAGATCACTGGCTTGGCATCGTGACGAGCGCGTCATCTGTACAAGCGCGTGATAGAACCCAGGAATGCAGCAACTCTCAACTCCATCGTAGTCAAACACCGGACGATGGTAAGGCAGGGACCCTTGTACGATTGTGGCGTACATAACCAGGTGGAGCAACTCACGCCGAGCTCCGCAACGCGCGCCCTGGTCGCCGCCCGGGAAGCTCCGACAGACGTTGGCTGCATGGTAAGGTAGCTCCTCTCACGACAACTGCTTGAGGTCACGACGAAGCCATTCAAGGCTGTGTTTGGCCAGGAAATCCACGGCATGGCGCACATGTTACGACGAGTGCACCGTTGAGAAGCGACGGGGTATTCTTCCCCTTCGCCGATGCCGCCTTCGCAGTGCCTCGCTAAGCCACATCTCGACAGCCTAGACGTTCGAGGGGTAATCCTCCACCGACATGTCCAACCCAGGCCGTCCGGTTCGCCGTCGCGACAAGCTACCATCCCGACGACCAGTTCATGCGGTCGACGGCCCACGAGCAAACAGTATAGTTCGAAATAGAGGGATGGATAGTGTGTTGGGCGACCCCATCAAGGATGCCACCGAATGGCACAACGGGGCATATCCACTCTCCACACACGGACGCGGTGGAAGCAAGAAGGAGCAACCACCGACCAACGCGATGGTCATGCATGCATTTACTGACACATGTCAAACGAGTGGCCTGTATGTGAATGTTGTAAAGCACACCGCGCGGGGCCGTCTGCCGCAATAGGCGTCCCCACCCAGTCGTGGATAGTCGACTATGCCCCGTCCTCGACGAAGAAACGTCCCGGCGATGCCGCGCCCACGGTGTCAACGAGCGGGAATTCCGATGTCGCACGGCTTGGCCATGTGCCAGTGAACCGAGCGCCGCGTGGCACAACGCATGGGACGTCTGTCGTATCAGCCATCTGCGACCGTGTCACATTCTTGTCGAATTCGTAGTTTAAACTTAAAACCTAAAGCCTGTTGTGGACATTACGTTTAACCACACGCAGTGGTTGTGGTCCTTACATGCAGGCTCGTGAGTCTTCATGGTGGTTGCCAGCGTGTCACCGTGCAGTTGGAGGACGCTTTGGACGTGGTGGAGCTGTTGTGATGGCAGTGGAGTGGCCGATGGAAGAAGGTGGTGGTTGTGCCGGCGATGTCCATGCAGTTGGATAGTTTCTTTGTTCAACCAACGAGACCAGATAATTTCACTCGTTGCAGATTCCAACATTGGAGCCAGCCAACCGCCCGACCTTCTCGGGCAACTCTGTCCGCTCAGCATCCACTCCAAACCTTTCACAGCATCTAACCCAATCTCAATGAAAGTCTCGGCACAAGAATGGAACTACAAGGGCCAGCCTCAAGGTGAACGTCCATTGGGGTGTGGGCATTTTCGAATCGATCGACTTGGAGTTTCCAAGTCGATCGATTCGAAAATGCCCACACATTCCTACGTATGTGGTGCCGCGACTCTGAGGCACTGCAGAGTCAACTCAGTTATAACCTACAATTCAGGTTTAAACCAAAAGTGCGTTCAACCAAATTTGAAAACTCGAGTAGACCGTGTACTCCGAGGATGATGACGGGGTGTCCGGTGGGCGAAGACCTTGTTGTTTCTGTCCACGCGCATTGTGAAGTGGATGTGTTCAAAGCTGTCCTGGCGAGGTGCCGCGAGCGCAGGAAAAGTGCCGCACCCAGGCCGGTATGGCTCAGTCCGACCCAAACGTTTATAAAATGTGAGAGGTTTTTCGTCCAGAGAGACAGTCTGGCGTATGTTACTTTTATCCGGACGTATTTTCCGGATAACGCGAGTTGTCATTCGGGTCATCTCCTTGCCGCTCGCGCCGCCGTCCGACCGTAGCAAAGGCCGTCCAGCCAGGTAAGTGATGCGCCGTGCAAGACGACGTGGAAGGAATGCGACCTGATGTATGTGATCCCCAGGAATGTACGTCATGTCCACGGACAGGATCATGGCCAGCGCAGCAACTGTGTTGGCGAAGGGCAAGTTTCCCTTGGGGTACACGTCCAACATGTACGACTTGGAAGCGTCCGGAGGTTCCAAGTACAACTCGGGCCGATCACCACGTAACAATCGCCACGTGAGCTCGATGCCTGCACCTGAGGTGTTTTCGAACCGCGAAGTCGACGAGTTCCACGATCAAGGCGAGATTGCAATGCATGACTTGTTGGAGTACAACGGCGCGGCATCGTACCACAAGATCAGCGACAAGGATAAGTGCATCTTGTATGAATGCTTGAGCAGCAGCGCGACGACCACAACCGTCGTGGACGAAACGTACTCGGTCAAGGGTGTAGTGACAGTTTGCACCCACCTGTCCGAGGTCATGGAGCTCCTGAGCGCCAACTCGCAGTATTTTTCCCGTGTGCTCGCCAAGCTGCTGGGACCGATCCATGCTGAAAGTACACCGATCTTTCCCCAGGACGAGCACGACCCCGACGAGCACGCCCTACTCGTCACATACCTGGCTTTACAATCGTCGTCGACCGCCGCCATGAACAACGACCTGGCTTCCGCCAATCAATTCCGTGCCAAGGCAACGTCCGCCCAAAACATCACGCGAGAGTACTGCTTTCTCCGGTACTGCGGGTACTTCAACAACAACAACGAAGCTGGCCGGATGGAGCGCGTCCTCCCGTCCGAGCCGCTGCGGCCCGAGTCGAAAGCTGTGTCGATTTGGGACTCAATTGCCAACGTCCCGATCGCGATCGCGCACCACGTGGGGCCGATGGGACGACTTGTAAAGACTGGATTTATTCTTGAACAAGCCAAGGCACCGAACGCAGTGCGGGTCAATTTTATCATGTCGATGCATCCCCATGGCTTTACCTATCCTCGGCAAGGTCAGTTTATCGTGTTGGAATCGATGGCCGTCGCGCGCATCGAAGTTAATTCTCGACTGACACGGTATCGACCTTCCATACGTAGTTGCGACCGAAAAGCTGATGTTGCAGCGGATGGTCCGAACCATATTACTAAACGTGTCGGCGGCAGTCATGGAGCTTCGCCTGCTAAAAGATCATTTACTTGGCAAGTCGTCGTGGACGGACAGCCCGATGTGCACAGTCTGCCTCAAGAACTTTTCGCTCCTTCGTCGCAAGCACCATTGTCGACTTTGTGGCGACGCATTCTGCACAACGTGCTCGTTGTCGCGACCTCGCCCCGACCTGGGCGACTCTGTCCGAGTGTGCCATGCCTGCGTTGAAGGCAACATATCTAGTACGTGTGTTGGCCCATCGAGTACTTGGATGACGACGAAATCAAGTCGCGTGGTCTCTCCAACAGCGAGACTAACGAGGCACGTGTTTTGTAGGTTTGGTGCGGTCCTCCGAGAAGTTGTTTTCCGCGGCGCAACCGTCGCATCTCTATCGGCACTCCTCGTTGCATAGCGGGGGTAGCCTGAAGGGTCGGTCGTCGACTGCCGGAAAAAAAGCAATTTCGGGATGGAGCCTCAGCGCGCGGGGTCGGAGTCCCAAAGCCGCCGCGATTCCTCAGCCGATTCCTCCATCGGATGCATTCATGTCGAACGGGACCATGCAATTCGACGACATGCCGCCGTCCAAGAAGGCACCGCAGCTGCAACGTCAGCAGACCCCACAACAGCAGCACCATCATCACCACCATCCAATGGAGCTTCCGACGGAGGCCGGACGCCGGCCGAAACCCTCCGTGACCACGATACCACCACCGACCAACCAAAAAGACCGCAAAAAGCCAAAGTCGGTACAGAATCCACTGCATCATCATCAGTACAGTCCTGAGCAGTACGAACATTTTCGCCCCGATGGCCCTCGATCCGTTCCATTTCAGCAACAGTCGGCTGCCGAGGCCAACTCCAACGTGTATCGAAATGGCGACTACCGAGGTCCTCCCGCGAATCATCCTCGCAGCCTCCATGGGGGGCAAAGTCCCAAGCAGGGTCAGCACACCCCTATAGACCTGGACGGGGACCGAACGGAAGAAAGCAGCCCTCGAGGGAGGCGAAGTCGACCTGGAAGTGGGCAAGCGCACAGTCCACCACAAGGTGTGTTTAACGACGTCGAGAATGCCCAACCCACTGCAAGGCAACCTCGACCTTACCAGACTCCAACGGTGGCGTACGGCGGTCAGGTTCAAGCGCCGACGCAGCATCGTGGCTTTCAATCCGCTCCCGCTGCCCCATCGAGTGGCATGCCGTTTCCGTCGGGGAACGGACCACGACGGTCCGACCAGCCCGTCGACAGTCGCCGTGTGCTTGGGGTCCCCGAACCGGTTGTTCTCGACAAGGAGACGCATCCAGAATTGGATTTTGACCTGCGCCATCACCACCCGTTTGCTCCAAATCGAACTACCTCGTTCGACCATGTCTTGGACGAACCCAACGCATTTTGTGGCCAGTACCTGTACCAAAGCACTCCATTCACGTACCCGTTGAATTTTCACAATGGCAACCCGTGGCCGGACGCACCGATGACAGCGTTCGAGGAAGTGCGCATGGAGCGCGCGCGGGACTTGGACCTTCTCCGACGCCGCGACGACATCCTCATGTACGTCCGAATTGCAGCCAAAACGATGAACTGCCCCGTGGCAACGCTTTGCATCGTCGGTGGCCAAGCAGGCCTGCTCATTGCCAAAGTCGGCGGCGTCACCACCGACACAATTCCGCGCCAAGTCATGCTGGAAAGCCATGCGATCCTGTCGCGTGACCCAACGGTCGTCCTCGACTGCCTGCACGATCTCCGGTTTGCCACCAACCCGCTCGTGTGCGAAGGCGACATCGGGATCCGGTTCTACGTCGGCATGCCGCTGTGCACGTCGGACGGGTTAATTCTCGGCGTCCTCAGTGTCGTGGACACACTGCCACGAGATCGTGTCCGCGTGTCGGAGCTCGACAGTTTGCGCCAAGTCACAGATACCATCATGCGCCGGTTCGAGCACTTGGCCACGGGGGCGCGGTGGGAACAGGACGCATTCCAGCGCCAATGCGAATTGGACCTTGAGCTCGACTAGAGCCTTACAGGACAGCGAAAACCACCAGGCGAGCACCCGATCCTGTTGTCGCGAGCATGCGTCTCCGACATGTGGACCCCAATCTACATCTTTGTGTCGTGTTTTATTTCGCTTTGCGAGAATCGTACAGTCCCGACCTCTTCAAGCCTCACAGGGTTCAAGACTCGGGTACACGGCTCACTCCCCATGGAGCAATTCCGCCGTGTACTCGACCACATCCGTCATGGATGGCCGGTCGGACGGGTCCAGATGCAGCATGTCCTTGATGAATTCGATCAAGTCGATCGAATACTCGACTCCTCGGAACCGCACCACGTCGCCTTGGGCTAGAACCCAGCCGTCCGAGTCAGTCGTGCACGATCAAAAATGAAACGAGTTGAACGGAGATGGGATGGTCGTCGTACTGGGAGGAAATGGAACTTTGCCATTGAGACAAGCTAAGCGCAGGAAACCCTGGAGACAAGTGTCAGCGCGCAATGAACACGTGCAGTGTGCGGAACGTCGATAACGACGGACGCACCTCGCGCGAATTCTCAAACGGGCTCGATCCGAACGCCATGCAGAATCTGCGCCACCCAACACATTACTAGGTCACGACAAGTTGATATCGTACGTACAATAGGCAGCCCAGTGACCACACGTCGGACTGGCCATTCACGATGTGGCCAACCTCTGGCTCAAACAGCTCTGGGGCGCGATAAGGCGCCGAGCATTTGCGGTTCGCATTCTCTTGGACAAGCATCAACTGCATCCAGGTCACGAGATCGTGCACTCCATGCAGAAGCATGCTTACCGTGCGGCGGTCGGCGATTTCCGTCACGAGCGGCGCGCAACTGCCAAAGTCCATCAAGATGGAGTGGTCGCGGTGGTCCAAGAGGACGTTGTGTGGCTTTAGATCGCGATGGGCGAACCCTGCCGCATGCAACGCCGCCACGCCCGACGCAATCCCTTGGAAGATGTTCAAAATGCGCCGTTCGTCAAACGGCCATGGTTGGTCTGTGTCGTTGGCGGCTCGCAAAATCGCATCCCAGAGGGTTCCATGGTCGTAAAATGGGAGCAGAAACAGTGCCTAGTGCACCCGTCAGAGTCCATGCTATTCTTCAAAGCATGCGGACCTCGTGCTTGTTGCTGGAGCGATTTTCGCCATATTGCAGCATGCGCATGACGTGGGGGTGGTGCACGTTCTACATGGCATTGCTGAGCACGAAAAGAGCCATCTGGACGACGCACCTGGTACACTTGGCGCTCGATCGCTGCATCGCTTTCAACTTCGGCAGAAGTTATGACAACTCGCTTTAGCGCGCACGTCTCGTTGGAGCCAACCGTCTTGACCAAAAAGACTTGGCCATACCCGCCTTCGGCCAGCAGCCGCACAATGTTGACCTGTGTGTTGCCCAAGGACAACACTTATCCCTACACCGAGAGCTATCAGGGATGCTGGCACCACCCTGCTGGTGCTGTACCTTGGACATGGCGTTGCTGGCACTCGAGATCGAGTTGCTGATCGAGCTGAGCAACGACCCTCCCCACTTCTTGGCCTTGCGCGCCGTTTCGTCAAGGTTCATCGTCTTGGCAAACTCAACAGCGTTCCGCTTCATATCGTCCACGTGCAAGTTCTTTGCAAAGTCCTTGGCGATTTCCGTCTGCTTTTTTAACTTTTCTTTGATCTCGGCCGTGGAAATGCCGCCCAATGCACTGGAACCCTCCGCGCCTCGGGACGTGTTACTGCCGCCACTGCTGTCGCGAGATGGATTGTCTCCAAATGTGGCCTCCCATGGAGCCGCGTGATCTTGGCTACACGACGAGCCGGACATGAGTCCTCCAGATGAGCAATGCCACGATCGAGCCCATACTCCTTTGTCGATTTGCGTTGAGAAGACGATTGTGAGCTGGATGAGTTGGTGCGCGACGATGATCGCGCTGTCCCTATGCAAGAGGTGCAAGTTTTGCGTACAGCACGATGGTGTACCAGCGGAGGCGGCCATAACGTGGATAACGTCGTCGTGATGCACTCCCTTCTCGGCAACTGGCCCAGCCGACACGACAATTTTCGCACGGATCCGCGAACGGTTCACGATCGGGACGACCGAGTTGGGGTTCGTATACGATCCAAACACTCCGTTTTCGTGTTGGAAGCTAAAATGGCAGTGTTCAAAGGGACATGCATCTTGAACGTCCTTCAGACGAATGGGATGGACCGAATCAGAGACGCGGAACGCGTTCGGGTGGCGCTCAGAGCTTCCGACCTCACCGAGGACATCGTACAGCACCAGCATCTTGATCACTCCCCGACAATTTTGGATCTCCGGATAATGTCAACCAAATCCGGATATGCATTTCTCCTTGATGAATCGGAGACGCGCCCTTCACATTGCGATGCTGGCACACCGCGAACTTGTGTAAGTAGGTGACGTCGCCGCTTCGTCCTGTGAAGTCGCTGTGTTTTTCAACCGTGTGGTGGACCAGCATCTCCGGAGAGTGTTGTTGGGTGGCTTCATGCCTGGAGAACGAAGGCACTGCATGTACTCATTCAAGGACGCTGTGCGCAAGGAAGGTTGCTCCCTTCCGTAGTTACTGCAGATCACAGTTTCGGCATCCTGCGAGCTGCACCACAGCCGACCTCCTCCTGCGAGAGTATGATCGTAAGAACTGCGAACCCTCGCGTCAAATCTCCGCCGAGCTGCCTTTTTTGTTGCGTGAACCACTCTAGAGCGTTTCGGACCTGTTTGCGCAGGTATCAAACTGCCCGACTTCAAGTCTCCCTGCATATCATGTCGTCAGCCGCGCCTTGTTCTCAATCCTTCCATGACCTTCACCATGTCGGGTGAACTTTCCCCCACATGAGTCATGTACTTTGCAATTTGCCATTGAAACTTTGCAGAAGAACATGTCCACGGACGACGCTTTCGCGGTCCATCCGACAGGCGTCATCGCCGTCACCGTGATGTTAGTGATCGTGCTGCAACTTTCATGGCTGCATCGAGCACTGGCAATCTCTTGGACCGCTAAGGCGACACGTACGTTGCCCCTGGCCAGTTCACCAGCGTTGGTTCCATCCAGTGCGCGAAACTCTGCTCCTCCACTTGACGGTGCCCATTTTGCCCTCTCCCTTCGAGAATCCATGTTTGTCGCAGGTGCCATGGTAAATGGCAGCTACACCCTATCGTTGAACTTGACGCTGCACCATCCGAGTCCATCTCCGTTATCCACGCCCATCATGCACGCAGCGTTGGCACAATTGCAAGCTCGCCACCCACTTCTCCGAACCAAGGTAGTCCCGTACGACAGCAGCGACAACCCCTTCGTCCTCCAAGTGGATCATTCCCTGCGCATTCCCTTCATCGAGTTGCCATCGAGTGCATCGATGGCGGAGCAATGGGCCCGGCACCGAGGTGCCAAATTGGCGTGCAGCGAACCTCTCATTCGCATCCTCTGGCAGCCTCAAGGCATGTCCACGCAGGTGGTGTTTCTCCTACACCACGCGATCGGCGATGGGCGATCTCTCAGCTGCCTTGCGCACGACTTTCTCAGCATTCTCGGCGCACAGGCCGAAGGAAGGTCGGGCCTAACGCTGCCCCCCCTTGCCCTCATGCAAAGCTGCGATGACGTGGCAATACGAGCAGTGCGATCGCATCCGCTTCGAAGCCTCCGATCGATTGCCCATACCATCTTGTGTGGAATTCGTGGACGCAGGGCGTTTGCGTTCCCGATCGATGCGGCGGCGGCAGAAACGTTCGTCACCTTGAAAAGCAATGCCCCTCTCGGCCTCACGTCCCAATTCGACGCGACAACGACAGCTCAACTTGTAGGCGCCTGCAAGGACCATCGAGTCAGCGTCACGGCAGCTCTTGGCGCTGCACTCATGCACGCTGTGGCCGACATGGCGGCGACCGCATCATGGCCTACAAGCAAAGTCTCTCTCGGCACGGTTGCCGATGCCAGGAGCCTGGGCTCGGTGGATAATAGCCCTGTTGCACGGGAGCACCTGGCGTTGTTTGCAACCGCCTTGCCGGTCTTCTCGCTATTGATACAAGCGAAAGACGCGGCATCAGAGTCGCTGCGGTGGCCCACGGCAGCGGCTTACGCCGAGCACTTGAACGACTGCACGCAGCGCCAGGACGGACTCGTCGTTGGCCTTCTCATGGGGCTAAACATGAAGCACATGATGCAGGCACCGCGGCTCACGATGGGGCGGCCGACCCTCATCTTGTCCAACTCGGGCGTCCTGCCCAAGCTTCAAACAGAGTACGGGGGCGTGTTGAAGGTATCGCGCGTCCACGTAACGAGCAATCAACTGTACAGCTTCCCCAAGGTCAGCGCTTCCACGATGGGTGGCGTCCTGACTCTCAACTTTGACGGAGTCGCTCCAATCATCAAGCCCAACGATCTCGCAATTCTTCAAGCAAGAACGGAGTGGCACCTGCGTGCGATGGCTGCCAGCTAACGACA